CTGGGACTCCAAATGTGAATTTCTGAGCCCTGAGGGGCCCAGGAAGAACAATACCTGCTATCAAGCAGCCATTAGTCACTCCCTAATGTTAGCACTGAGGAGCTGGGAGAGGGGTGGGAAATGCCAGATACTGGCCCCAGATAGCTGAGATGCAAATGAAAGGAATGATTTCATGAGCCCAAACTCTTCTGTCTTCCCATACACAGAAAAGCACTAAATTCCTTGAGATATCTGTTTTTCCTTTATTAACAATAATCTTTTGATGTTCAGACTACCTGCCCTTTCTTGCAAACCTCTCTATAACCTGATTCCTCCCCCTGCCTCCTCAGAGCAGTTCTCTCAGGGTTACTTGAGATGCTGTCTCCTGGGCTTGTTGTTGTTCAGAAGTTAAGTCATGCCCGACTCTCTGTGACACCGTGAACTGTAGCACTCCAGGCCTCTCTGACCTTCACTATCTCCCAGAGTTTGCTCAAACTCATGGCCATTGAGTCGGTGATGCCATCCAACCATCTCATCCTCTGTCGCCCTTTCTCCTCTTGCCCTCAGTTTCCCAGCATCAGGGTCCTTTCCAATGAGTCTGCTATCTGTGTCAGATGGCCAAATATTGGAGCTTCAGCTTCAGCAGCAGCACTTCCAATGAATATTCAGGGTTGACTAGTTTGATCTATTTGCTGTCCAAGGAACTCTCAAGAGTCTTCTCCAGCACCACAGTTTGGAAGCATCAGTTCTTCAGCACTCAACCTTCTTTATGGTCCAGCTCTCACATTTGTACATGACTACTGGAAAAATAATAGCTTTGACTATATGGACTTTTGTCGGCAAAGTGATATTTCTGTTTTTTAATATGCTATCTAGGTTTGTCACCACTTTTTTTCCAAGGACAAGTGTCTTTTAATTTCATGGCTACAGTCACCATCTCATGCTTGAAGTCCTAAAAATTCCCACCAAGTAAAGCATAACACTCAACTTTTAGGTTGTGACAATTTTTTAGGTTGACACTTACACCAGTACATGTGAAGGAGACCTGAGTTTGATCCCTGGATCAGGAAGATCCCCTGAAAAAGGGAATGACTACCCACTCCAGTATTCTTGCCTAAGAAATTCCATGGACAGAGGACCCTGGCGGGCTACAGTACATGAAGTCTCAAAAGTTGGACACAACTGAGTGACTAACACTTTCACTTTCACTTAACTTCTGTTCACCTCTGGAACAGAGTTAAATGACTGGGTTAAAGAGGTATCATAGGGATTCAAAAATGTTTGAGTGAGTTAACGAAAGAATGAGAGGATGAAACTGCATACCTCCTCAAGAAAACTTGCAACAGGATCAAGCTCTCCCCTTCTCTAAAAACCAAGTTAATAGAAATCGTGTGATCTATCTTTCTGCAGACGTTGATATAAGAAATCTATCATGCAAAGTAGTCTTGACTTCCATCATCTTAAAAAATTTTGTCATTTAGAAAATCTATCTTATAATAAATTGGCACTTTTACTATTCCACATGGGACATCTGGTATCCAGACACATCATGTTAGAATTGCACGCAAGTAGCAAGCCAAAGGGGGGTTCCTGGTGGCTCAGTTGGTAAAGAATCCACCTGCAATAAAGGAAACCTGAGTTTGATTCATGGGCCAGGAAGATACGCTGGAGAAGGGAATGGCAACCCACCCCAATAGTCTTGCCTGGAGAATTCCATGGACAAAGGAACCTGGCAGGCTACAGTCTATGAGGTTGCACATAGTTGGACACGACTGAGCAACATTCACAACAAATAGAATTGAGCAAAAACAGTGTATTTGATCCTTTGAACATTCAAGCAATCTATTGACAAGTTTTAAAAATTGCCTTGTAGTCTTCTTTATATGGAAGAGTTTTAATACTTTGGATAATCTGTTGTATTTGTATTTTTAAGGAAAAATATGCAAACTGAGTAAGCAAATATAACTTATTCTCAGAAATAAAGCTTAATTTTTGAACATTTATATACAAATAATTTGTAACTTCTGAGACATTATTAATAAAAATTTTAAAATATGTGTGCAGTGGAGATTCTTATAATAAATAGTCAATTTTCTTCTATTTGCCTAGGACAATGACCTAATAAGATAGTTAATCATCATTGGACTGAAAAAAAACAAATAACAGCTATCTATTTAGCAAGAGACTCTGACAACAGATAAAGGGATAGACCTGTGGTTGTTGCCGTGGGATCCTAAGTCCAGGTAAGAAAGAATCTTTGAAATTCTCAAACCTCATTGTTTCTCTTATTTGAGAAACTTCCACAAATATCAAGGATAAAAATTGTTTTGATGAACATGATAAATACACATTTTATGCTGTGTGTCTTCTACATGCTTATATTCTAAGCCCTTCAAACCTATCTTCTAGAGGTAGCTGAGCCTTAGGCTTATGTTTTTGACAAAGACAGAAAATCAGACATTGATAATTTAACAATAATGTCTGAAATCCCATTCCTATTACTCTCTATCCAAGTGGAACTTCAAGTCTGAAAATATGAACCTCTGATTATCTTCTCAAAACACGCCACAAGGCAATTATTATCACTGATTATATAGAATTATTAAACTTGCTCTTGATCTCTTTGATTCCAAGTGGATCATGTGGGTTGAAGAGTTAGCTGGCAAACATTGAGAAATGGGATGTGTTTCAAAGCTACTTACCCACCTTGATGTTACTTGTTTCAACTCAAGTTTGACTCAAGGGGAGGAAATAGGTTTTCAAGTTAATTTTATCTCTGATTCAATGAGAAAAAATTCTGCTCAGCCCGGTTCCTGGCACAAAATATGGACTCAAAAATATCAGTTCCCTTCTCCAATTCAGGAAAATGGCTGGCCTGATAATTATTGCTAAGGTTATTTAATTTAAAATTACTAAGTTATTTACAGACCTGTAAAAGATCTAAGAAGTTAGTGAGTGCTTTTTCCCTCCCCCCCGCCCCCATCTCGGTACCACCAGTATAGGTCAGGGTAAAATGTCACAATGTTTAGAGTCAACTCTGAATTGATTTCCACTTTTAATTAATCTGTAGTGATTTATTACAATTTAATATTTTTCCAGAAATAAGCTAAAAGTGCTTACTTTTCCAACTTTTTATCTGGATATTTTTCCCAATATGAGGAGAGAGGTGAGGACAAGTAGTCTGTCCAGGAAAGTAGTAGAAATACAAGGAAAAAGAATGATTCTGTTTAACTAATTAAAATAAAGTGGAATTGCAGTTATGGTGATGTTAGGCATGACCATAGACTCTCTGAGAGGTACTTAGAGTACACCAAGCTCTTTTTAACAAGTCCAAACTCTACCTGCTTTTTGAGCCTGGTTCCAGAGGTATTTTCTCTATGAAACCTTTTTAGGCCATTCTAATTATAATTCATTACATTGTTTTTTCTGCTCATTTTGACTATCTACTATGTGGAAGGCAGTGTTTGACACTTTGTAAAGACATAAAGATGAATTAAGGGCTTCTCAGGTGGCTCAGAGGTAAAGAATCTGCCTGCCAGTGCAGGAGAGGCAAGAGATGTGGGTTTGATCCCCAGATTGGGAAGATCCCCTGGAGAAGGAAATGGCAACTCACTCCAGTATTCTTCACAGACAATTTCATGGCCAGAGGAGCCTAGTGGGCTACAGTCTATAGAGTCAAGAAGAGTTGGACACGACTGAGTATGCAAAGATGAATCAAACATGTGTTTGTCTTCCTAGATCTTATAATGTAGATATGCAGAAAATGTAACAAAATTTTCTTTCTTTCTCTTTTAAAAAAATATTTATTTGGCTGTGCTGTGAACAGATTTTCTCTAGTTGTGGCAAGTAGGGACTACTCTTCCTAGCTCAGTAGTTGTGACTCGAGGGCTCTAGAGCACAGGCTCAATAGTTGTGGTGTGAGTTGAATTCCTTTGTGGCACGTGGAATCTTCCTGGACCAGGATTGATCCCATGTCCTCCTCACTGGCAGGTGGATTCCTATCCACTGTACCATCAGGAAATTCCCCAAATTTTATTTCTAATAGATATTGTTAATAATTGATTGAATCTAATCTAGCGTATAAGTCTATTTTACCTTCTTTGTTGATTCAAGTTTGCCTCTATAAATTTATCTTCCTAAATTATAATCTCACTGAAACTAGAAATGTGTGTGTGTGTGTGTGCTTCCCCTTCATTTTGCGTTTCAGTGTTCAGTGAAACGTGAAACCCGAGTTCTGTTCATGGAGCCAAAGAATGAAATCTGCAAACTTGCAAACACTCACACAGGCAAAGTTTATTTTAAAGGAGAGAGATACAAAGCTCACAGAATAGACACTGAGAGGGGGTGAAGAGCCCCCAGAAGGCAGGAGTTACAGCAGTTTTGTATCTTTACTAGTATCAAACTGTATATCTTTGGTTGGCTCATGACTTTAACATACATCTTTTCTGACCAATCAGTTTGAGTGTCACAAAGTCCAGTTTGTCATTTTTATGGCTTTTTTGGATCCCACATTTCTCAGTTTCTCTAGACATTGTGATGCCATCCCTCAACCCTTTCTCAAGACCCCAGACCATTATTTAAGAACCAAAGGTATGTTTAAGAGCTAATGGTCTTCTTGGAGTTTGGGGGATTCCCCCCACCCTTGATAAACTGGACAGCAGGTAATGATTGTCTTATCCTTGGTCTGAATGTTTTATGACCCTCCAGACCAAGGACGTATTCCTCTGAATGCCTGGTAATTGGAACAAAGAGTGAGATGCCTACTTGGGAAGAGGAAAAAAATGAAATTAAAAAAGAACCAAGGTCTCAGAGTCTTAGACTGTCTAGCAATTTCTGCCTCATCAGGACATAATAAATCCTACATGAATATTTGTGGAATTATTGATGGATGTTGATCATGATGTTTTTCTAATTTCTGAATTGTTAATGTGAAATAAAACATGCTTTCTCTCTTTCAAAAGGTGATCATTTTGAATATCAACAACAACTGAAAACATTCACATGATATATGCAATTCAATGATGGACCAAAATCATCATTCGGATAAGACCGCAGAGGCACAACCTTCTGAGAAAAAGAAAACTAGAAACTGCTGCAATGGATTCAAGGTGGAATGAGTTTTATATTTTCAAACTAAAATAAGTAAAGGGAAAATTTTTATTTCAAGAAAAGGCAGCCAGTCTTTTTAAAAGAACATTATATTTCAAATTAGAGTTTTTGAAAGAAGCATACATTAAAATACAGAATGATACTTATCTTGGTATACATCAGTCTTTAAATCAGAAAAAATATTCCCTTGGTGATATTTCCGGCTTAGAATTTATTAATGTTGAAAATTTAGAACGATTTTGGTATCCTCTCTTCATTCCTGATGGAACAAAAGGTACTTATAAAAATTATGATTCGAATAAAAGTAGTCTTTGTATAATGGATATATTTTTTAAAAAATCTTATATTTGACCTATTGACAGAGAAGATTTATCAGTCTTCTGAATCACTTTATGGTCTTGACCTATTTAATTTAAAAAAATAGAAATTTTGCTCTATTAATTTAAATAATGTAGTCTGATGGAAAAGAGATCTGTAATAACTAAAAGACCCGGCCCAAAAGCCTAGTTGATGACTTGGGATGGTCAGTTAATATTTCTGTATGCAATGGATAAAAGTGATAATCCTGTCTCTTGCTTTTGTCACAAAACAGTGAAACACTGAATGATATAGACTGTATTGGGATTTTGACAAAGAGGGGAAAGCAATCCTTGAGCACAGTATTAAGGAAACCAAGACACAGGGAAATTGAGAAGTTTGCATGAAGTCATCTAGATTGTAAATGGAAAACTCTTGAATCAAAGCCTTTTTTCAATTAATTTTTTATTGAAGGATAATTGCGTTACAGAATTTTGTTGTTTTCTGTCAAACCTCAACATGAATCAGCCATAGGTATACATATATCCCCTCCCTCTTGAACCTCCCTCCCATCTCCTTCCCCATCCCACCCCTCTAGGTTGATACAGAGTCCCTGTTTGAGTTTCCTGAGCCACACAGCAAATTCCCATTGGCTATCTATTTTACATATGGTAATAAAGCCTTTAAACCCCCATAGGGCTTCCTAGGAGGTGCTAGTGGTAATACAGGACCCGCCTGCCAATGTAGGAGACATAAGAGATGCGGGTTTGATCCCTGGGTCAGGAAGATCCCCTGGAGGAGAGCATGGCAACCCACTCCAGTATTCCTGTCTGGAGAATCCCATGAGAGAGGAGCCTAGTAGGCTATGGTTCAAATGTCACAGAGTCAGACATGACTGAGCACACACACATGCAGAGAAGACTAGAAGAAAGAAAAAACTCAACCAGGCTGATGCTAATCATTATTTAAAATGTTTTCCTCAAAGTTATAGCTTTATCTAGTCGAATAAAGACCAGAGATTAAACTCAATTGCAATCATGTTATATAAGGTATTTTTTAACTTTGTCCTGGGAACATGACGTCTGTTTGTTTTTTAGAGATTACTGGTAAAGTCTATTCTGATGAAATATTTAAGTAATATTTAAGCCAAGAAGCAGTCACCAGGCGAAGCTACTGGCTAATGCATTTGGAACAATTGTATTGTCTAGGGGTAGTATGATGTGCTGGATCATTTTGCTTTTAAACATGGACAGTTATAGTGATTTCATTTGCACATGTATTCAAGATGACGACAAACTATCTAAAAAAATAAAGTTGCCTGTGTAGTCTCTTGCAGCATATTTGTAGAAAAGCTTCAAGTTAGCAAGTCATCAGAGTATGAAGTATGTTCATTGCAGTCCAATAATAAAGACCAGAGAAGCAATCACAAAAATAGTATATTGAGTACTTACTGTTATGCAAGACACTATTCTAGTATTTTATTTTTTGTTTTTTTATTGGTTACACTGGATGTGTAATAATCCAACCAGTCCATCTTAAAGGAAATCAATCTGAATATTCATTGGGAGAACTGATGCTGAAGCTGAAACTCCAATACTTTGGCCACCTGATGCGAAGAATTGACTCATTGGAAACGAGTTGATGGAAAAGATAGGGAATGATGGGAAAGTTGGGAAAGACTGATGGCGGGAGAAGGGAAAGACAGAGGATGAGATGGTTGGATGGCATCACCAACTCAATGGACATGAATTTGAGTAGACTCCGGGAGTTGGTGATGGATAGGGAAGCCTGATGTGCTGCGGTCCTTGGGGTCACAAAGAGCCAGACACAACTGAGCAACTGAACTGAACTGAACACTGGCTGTGCAGGCTTCATCTAGTTATGGCAGATGGAGCTTCTCAATGTGGTGGCTTCCCTTGTTGCAGAGCACGGCTCTAGGTGTATGGGCTTCAGTAGCTGTGCATGGGCTTAGTAGCTCCACGGCATGTGGAACATTCCCAGACCAGGGACTGAACCCGTGTGCCTGGCACTGGCAGGATTCTTATCCACTGTACCACCAGGCAAGTTCTGTTCTAGTGTTTCAGTTCTGCATGTGTGTTCAGGTGCTTCAGTTGTATCTGACTGTTTATGACCCTACGGACTGTAGACTGCCAGGCTCCTCTGTCCATGGAACTCTCCAGCCAAGAATACTGGGGTGGGTCGCCACACCCTCCTCCAGGGGATCTTTGCAACCCAGGGATGGAACCAGCATCTCCTGCATTGCAGGTGGATTTTTTATCATGGAGCCATCAGGGAAGCCTGTTTTAGTTCTATTAGTGGGTGTATTAATTATCACAATTCTGTCAGCCATGTGCTATTATATCCCTTTTCAGATGGGAAAAAAAAAAATTTTTTTAAGAGGTTGAATGACATTCTCTAGGTCCCTAAGCTGGTAAGTGGTGGATCCAAGGTTTGAACTCAGGCAGTCTGAAATCCTATGATCTCAATTGTACTCCATGTTGCTAAAGTATCTATGAGTTTCCATAATATTAGTACCCTCAAGATGTTCTGGTAAGTATGGATTTATAAATGGATTTTTAAATAATCTTTGTCATTCTATACTTCCAAATATTCCCCTTCATACCAAATAATTCAGCTTCAAGCAAACATATGTGCCCACACACATACAAATGCACATGTTGTTTCTGAGGTGTGTATATAGAATCAGCATTGAGAATGTGTAAAAGTGCAAATAGATAGCAAATAATCTTGAATAACAAACAACAGCATGATTTGATTCTTTCTTACTCCTTTCCCTCAATTTTTGAGCAGAACCAAGTAGGTTATGAAAACCCTGCCAGTACACTGTTCATCTTTATACCTGTTTCTGTACTTCATATTTCTTGTACTGCTGTGTTATAATGAAAATTCTTTAAAAACTTAAAAGTAATGCATCATCTTCAAAGAAATATAAATAACAGGGCAAAAGTAAAAATTGTCTCAGTCTACCTTCATTCCTATTCCTTTTCCAGAAATCATTAGGATAACTATCCCATTTGTATCCACCAACAGAATCCCTATCCCACAGTTTTCCTCTGGATTATTGCCTCTGTCCTATTGCTATTTCCCAAGATGCAAAGTGCACTTCTGACTTGGAGAAACTTGTACTTACTGTTTCTTCATCTGAAATGTTATACTCCCGTATCTTGCACTTTCATCTCATTCAAATCTCTGTTTAAACATTATCTCATCCCTGACCACCCCATATAAACAGTGGTATTATATACATATACATATATATATCATATATCACCCATATATACGGATAACGTTTCCTATCCATAACTCTTCAACCAAACTGATTTTTTTTCATAGCATTTTTCACTACTTGACACTGACATGCAAATGCACACATATGTATAGGTGTGTGTGCATATCTATGTCCTTAATGGAATAAAACGACACAAATTTATTACAGCTGTGTAATAATCATACAATTCTGAAGTCGAGAAGTCTGAAATAGGTCTCATTGGGCTAAACCCAAGGCGTTGGTAGGGTTGTGTTCCTTCCTGTAGACTCTAGAGGAAAGTTAATTTCCTTGTCTTTTCCAGTTTCTAGAAACTTTAATAACTCTCTTCTATATTCAAAGCTCGTGATGGCCAATCAAATGTTTGTTACATTGCATCACATTTGTGTTGAATTTTCTGCTCTCTCATCCATGCTTCAAGGATGCTTGGGATTACACTGAGTTATCAAACAGAACATATGACAGTCTCTTCAAGGTCATCTGGTTAGCAACCTTAACTCCATTTGCAAACTTAATATCCCCTTACAATGTTACCTAACATATTCATAGTTAAGCAGAGTAATGGCATGCAAAGAGGCCCAGGTCCTAATCTCCAAAACCTGTAAATATATTTTTTTCCTAGAGGAAGTCATTTACCCTCTCTGTATCTAAGATTTTTCATCTGTGAAAAGGAAATAATAGCATCTGACTGACAGAATTATGCTAAGAAATAAATCCACTAATAGAAGTACAACAGTAGAACATCTGGTGTATAGTACTATTAGTAGCTAGAAGCTGAAACTCCAGTACTTTGGCCATGTCATGCGGAGAGTTGACTCATTGGAAAAGACCATGATGCTGGGAGGGATTGGGGGCAGGAGGAGAAGGGGGCGACAGAGGATGAGATGGCTGGATGGCATCACCAACTCGATGGGCATGAGTCTGAGTAAACTCCAGGACTTGGTGATGGCCAGGGAGGCCTGGCGTGCTGTGATTCATGGGGTCGCAAAGAGTTGGACATGACTGAGCGACTGAACTGAACTGAACTGAACCATTATTTTTATTGCTTCTCTGAGCTTTATTATTGGACAGCAATTAACATACTTAATACACAAGGCCATCTTGCTAACTCAAAACTCCTCTCCAAATATGCTGCATGGGACTATGCAGGCAATCGTGCTTTGGCCAGGTTGTCATCACCTTGTTGTGTGTGTGAGAATGAAACCACTGTCCCTCCAGTGCACTGAAATGTAAAGCTGGATGGCTGATTTGAGATCTTTCTTCATTTTATTTATAGGCACTAATAACTATGAAATTCCTTCTTAGTACTGTATATGTATATCCCATATGTTTTGGTATGTTGTGATTTCAGTTTTGCTTGTCTTGAGGTATTTTCTAAATTCTTTTTAGCATTCTTTGGTCTACTGTTGTTCAAGA